ACTCATTGATCAACTTTTTCCATGACCAAGAAGAATTGGTAAGAGTTGATCTATTGTGTGGTAAAAGGCCCAGCTAGTGGGACCACTTTATGGATTGAACAAGAAGAGTCTTCCAAAAATAGTGAATTACAAGAAGCTCCTCACATGCATCAAAATAAAGAAAGAAAGAAAAAAAAGAAGAATAAATCTCTCCAATTTGAGAAACATTTTTCTTCTTTTTGTCTCAAAGGGGAATTTCGTGTGAGCTACATGACATGGGGGTATCTCAGACAACCATATTCAATGATTCGGCCAACAATGTAGCTTACAAGAGCAGGGTTGAACAAGAGGCAACGGCATGAAGCTAGGTTGTGAAACTAACACTTTGCTATTCAAAATGGTTTGATCCAAAAGGAAATAAGTTTAATACTTATAAACCACAAGCAACTATGCTTTGTGCCTTTAAGCTATTGATTGAAGTTGGTATGACCAACCATTTACTAGTAAAAAAGTTAATGTCAATATTGATAGCTCGACTTCAAAACACCCATCACATACATTAAACATAATCATCTCAGGACGCCTGAAGTAGGAAACTATGGTTGCTTGTCCAACTCTATGGATGCTATGATTTAAAAACCCTCTTATTTTTGTGAATTTGTTCTACTTGTACATTCAATATAATTAAATACACGATCTTGGTCGGGATGTACATCTATCTACTAAATCATTCACCATTAATTAAATTTAAATATAAATGCCAAATCTAAGTCAAGAAACCTCCTTAATATAGATTACTTTATTTTATTTTATTTTTGTGCATTGTAGAGTTTGTTAATTATTAGGGCTTGCACCCATATGAAGTATCATATCTAATCTAAATAAACTGTTTTAACATCAGGGGAAATGTAGTTTATTTATCATAGTCCACTCTAAGGGAAACTCCTAAGTTTCTCATCACACCAAGTAGGCTCAATGGTTGGGATGACTTTTCTTAAATGATTAGATTTTTAGCACCTTTGTTTGGGGAGAGTTATATCCATCTTTAAAGCATTGCTCAAGATTAAATAGGATAATGAGATAATTCTCAAATAACATCTATTTCAAATTGGCTTCATTTTATGTTGGAAAAACAGGAAGAGCCAACGGAAGGAAAAGGCTTACCCAAGGTTTGAGCAATCTATAAGCTTTGGCTCGATAGCAGACTCCTAAGGTTGTCAAACCCCCCCAAAAAATACTTAGAACTGCTATGGTGGGTTAAGAGGAATTATAAAACAATCCTTCTTAGAGGCAACCAAGAAACCACACAATGGTTGTAGGAGAACCATGAGTTCTTACATGCATTTATAAGATCCTTCTTTGCCATTAAGGAGAAAGGATTTTCAGAATATGGTAGGGAAACCAACCACAAATTTCTTGTTTGAGACAACCTCCAAATAAAAAATAACGAGGGACTTAACAGAATAGCCATTTCAATATAAGAATCAACTCTAAAAAATTTGAGTCATACAAAGGGCATCACATTGTAAAAATCAAAATGTGAAATATAAGAAATGCATCTCTTTGAGATATTTCACTAGATAATCACAATGGCATTTAAGAAGGTCAATACCTACATCTATATGGTGGCTCTCTATATCAATAAGGTAAGTGGATTCCCAAAGAGGGTTGTGAATAATCACAAATCATCTATTAGAGCATCTTTATACATGTAATGGATAGCCTTTTAATTGAAAACTTGAAATGACATCTCAAAAAAGATGATTCAAAATATGACTTCAAGATTTGAGCCTTAGAGTCAGCACGTTGGGCCTGACATATGAGCCATATAATTAATCAAAATTTGCCACCATAAGGTCTTTGTAGCCAACTTTGTCATTAAGGCCTTAAATATCCAAACTTATGGTGAGTATCTAGGCAATGCAATTCCTAGAGACCCACCGTTAGAAGATTTTGGCAGCCAATTCGGAGGCGAAGGCCTGAAATATCAAAGTTCCATGATAAGCATTAGGGCATGGCATTCGGGAATTATATATTACTAAAATTTGTTGCCAATAAATCCCACAAATTACTCCAAGGTCAAGTCTAAATACCTAAAGTTGCATCAGTGGTCTCAGAGGCATTGCCTTGAAAACCACTTCTCTTAAAGCATGGGACGTCAATGAAAATGATGAGGACATTTATGAAGAGCTTGCTTTAGTATCAAAGAGATTCAATGCCCAAAAGAAGAAAATGCAAAGATGAAGTTGGCAAGGAAGAATAGTTCTAAAGCTTTGGGCGAAAAGAAAGAAGCCATCTACTACAACTACATAAGGATAGGGCACATTAGATGGGAATGCCCTTTTATAAAGGTAAGAAGCAAAACAAAGCATAACAAGTTTATGGAGGAAAAGCGAAGGGGACTCAAACATGTGCTCATTCTCATTTTATGAATTTGATGAGGTGGAGCCAAATATTTGCTTTATAGCTCAAAATGATGTATTGGATTCTCCCCAATATAAGTAAGAATTTACACTTGAGGAGTTGAATGAATAGGTTTGTAAATTGAAAAAGAATTCCCTATTGCCTTCAGGAACTTCCCTATAAGGTAATGAAATTTAATTAAACTCCCTATAAGGTAATGAAATTTAATTAAACTCAACTGAAAAAATAGAAACTCGATTTTTTGAAAGACATCATTAAAACATTTTATTTGTGTACTAAACCTTAGGTGTTTATACTAAGAACTTTTTTTATTCAAATGAAAAAATTTAAATAAATGCTAATTTGTGTTCTACTAACTAAAACATTCTTTAAAGCATTGTTAGTGATAATTTGAATCAAATTATGCTTCTCGAGTTGATCAATGTAATTATTCATCAACTCAAATATTTTTATGGCATTCTTTGTGAATGAATTCAAGATTATCAACCATCTATCATAAGAGTACAACTAAACATTATCTTTTGAATGAAGTTACAATAATTTATGTGTGTCCTACCAACTTATGCAAAATGAAACTTGTATTTCACGATAACTATGAAGTTTTATTCTAGGATTAAATTGTTCATCTGTCTCCAATATTGCTAAAAAACTATCATATTTTACTGCATTAGCAGAGATTTTAGAATAATACATCCATTTTGCAAAGTTATAGTTTATGTCTCATCTCTCATTACCTTTTAGTTCCCAACTCTTTTGTGTTTTCCCCATCTTTTTTCTTATTTCTTTGCTCCTTAAGTTATTTCTTTTTATTCTTCTATGAGAAAATGACTAAAATGATCTCTTTATTTTTTATGAAGAAGAAAAATGGTCCTCAACTATATTAAAAGATCATTTTTGTCTCTCAAGTCCTTAAAAATGTATCTAAATACTAAATGGTCCAATGGTGGGACTATTTTGATTCTTCTTTAATGGGTTGATGGACCAAAATGATCATTTAATATAATTGGGGACTATTTTGGTTTTTCATAAAGAGTCGAGAGACCATTTTGACCATTTTCTCATTCTTCTATCATCTGGCTTCGTTATTAACAAGTTGAGGACAAGGATAACTTTTTGCATTCATATGCCCCACTTTTATCTTATTATTTCTACCATTTACTATCTTGCCATAAATTGTACATTTCAGTGTTAGAATTCTTCCATTAGGAACAAACCATAATTTGCTTGTCTTTACTATTTGCATGTGAAGGATTGCTTTCAACCATTTTTTATATGTGCCATCCTATTAATAAAAATGCATAAGTTAGTTGCTTGCAAGTATAAATTAATTTAAAAATAAAAACACTTGTTAGGAAGAAAATAATACTTCCATTTTGGGACAGTTGGTTGCTCATACAACAATTTAGGGTTGTCGGTTGCTCTTACCTGTTGCAATTCTTGAGATGCAAAAAAGACGTGCATATAGGATAGATAGGATTCATTATTGGGCACTATTGATTACTCTTGTGGACAAGATGTCTTGTGGGGTAGTTGACTAGACAGATGGGGCTAGGGGTTTGCTTAATTGGATGACATGATCTGAGATGATGAGAGTAAATAGGATGGAGGGAAGATGTGGGATTGCAGAAGGGGCATCATTGGTGGAGGTGGGTGCAAAGGTGGACGAGCTTTGAACTTGCTGATGAGATGATTGTTGTGAGTGCTCTCATAGCCTTACTCATGCAAGTAATTGCCTAGCCCCATGCACACTTCGTCTGCAAATGGACGGCACCTTTTCATACCTTTTTTATTGCGTCATAACAACGGTGCAAGAATGTGCTTGATTGCATTGTGCCACAACATACCATTGACAACTATAGTAGCCAATCATAGTACCTTATTTTTCTTTTAATTTATGATTATTTGGTGATATATTATCTACTAATCATCTTGCATTAGAAAGATGTGGACTCGGATCTTTAATTTACAAAATAGATCCATGGCTATTTTCAATAGGCTAAGTTGCCCTCAATGTAATCTTGAGGCCCCAAATTCGAGTCATGAAAATATACTTTTTATTCAACGCAAGGGTAAGATTGTGGACATCAGACCCTCGAACCTTTCATTAGCAGGAGATTCATTCATGGGGAATGACCCTTTGCGATCTTTCAATTTGCAGGAACACTTCATAACCTCGACTATCTATTATATAATTATTAGGCTTCTCAGAATGTATGAAGTTTGATTTTTGACATTTGTTTACTTAATATTAGATACACATGCTTCTTAGCAGGTATTGACAGGCATTCATGTTGTGCGAACCGCTGTAACTTTTTAAAATAGGAAGATACCATTGTTTCAATCATTCTGTATTTTAAACTAGCAATATTATTCCTGAAGTTGCTTATTTATCATGTAAACACATTTTCTTAATTCAAATTACTAGACGACATGATTCTCTAATGGAATTTGGATGGCTCTGGATATTTGTCCTTTTGTAATCGGATAGGACTGCATTATTCATTATAGATGGTGATTTGCATTTTCTTGTTGTACTTACTGAATTGTTTTTTCTATCCATTGTTATTTTTTTTTTTCACCGTTGCTTTCTACCTCAGTTTACTCCAAGGAAGGCTGGAACTCCAAAGAGGAACGAGATAGTTTTTATTTCTCCAACTGGTGAGGAGATTAGAAACAAGAAACAGTTGGACCAGTATATTCGATCCCACCCTGGTGGCCCTTCTTCTTCAGAATTTGATTGGGGATCTGGTAGCATCTTTTTTCCTCTTCTTTTCTATAACATCTGCAAGATAGATGTTTGCGGATTGCTGTTGTGCTCTTTAAAATATGTTTTTGATCGGTGAAACAGGTGATACCCCAAGGCGATCTGCTAGAATTAGTGAAAAGACAAAGGCAATGGAGACTCCGGAGGAAGAACCTCCAAAGAAGCGAGGAAGGATTTCAAGCTCAAAGAAGGGAACCAGACAGAAAAATGGTGTAGATGAACATGTGGAGGATGAGGCACCAAAAAGTGAGGAGGCGGTAGCTACAAAAGCGGCAGAGAAAGTAGAAGGTGATGTAAGAGATGCTGTTGATAGTTCAGTAAAAGAAGGCAAGGATGACGCTTCTGCTGCTAAAGTTATTTCGGAGGATAGTTCTTCTAAAATACATTCAAATGAAGGAACCAAACATGAGAAAGATGATATAAATGCAGATGTAGTAGAGGATGAAGCACCGGAAAGCGAGAAGACTGCTACAGATACATTAGGGAGAGTAAATGATGCAGATATGAAAGATGCTGAGGATGAGGCTGCTACTAAAGCTATTGCGGTGGATAGTTCTGCTAAGGAAAATTCAAATGAAGGGAACAAACTGGAGAAAGAGGTAGATTATGGGGCACCAGAAAGTGAGAAAGGTGAAGCCACACAAGCACTAGAGACTATAGAAGATGTTGATATGAAAGATGATGTGGAGGGTTTAGTTATAGGAGCGGAAGAGGCTGCTGCTAAAGTTATTTCGGGCAATAATTATGCTAAAATTGATTCAAATGAAGGCACTAAACTGGATGAAGTAGATGAGGCACCGGAAAGTAAGATATCTACACAAGCACCAAAGAGCTTAGAAGATGTAGATCCGACAGATGCTGAGGATGCTTCTGTAAAAGAAGAGGAAGTTTCTGCTGCTAAAGCTATAATTTATTCAAATGGTAAGCCTGTGGAAGCTAATAAAAATGACGTGTATCAAGAATCTGCAGTAAATCTATCTGGAAAGGAAGAAAATGAGCAGGAAAAACAGGCACATGGAGAGCAGAGTAAAGACGCGACTTCCTTCCTAAATGATAATTACAAAGGCGAGCAGGTTTCTCCTTCCCAAGCTATTCCCACTGCTAACCGCCCACAGAAGGCTTCAGCAATTGCTTGAATGAGATCGAATCTGGCAGTGAGAAGCCATTTAGTGTTGCCTTTGTTTGCATAGGTGTAATATAATCGTCCTCACTGCTTTCGATTATGCCCTATTATAAT